ATAGAATAACAATAATGTATATGTGAACAACAGGTTTGCAATGGAGCTACCTATCTCAGTGTACATGAATTGGAGAAATAGTTTTTTATAGGCAAAATTGATGCTAATAATCCAACTTTTACTCTTGGACTTCCTTGTTTTCACTTATTCTTCTCAATTCTTTCTATAGAGGAGAGAAAGAAGGGAAATCCTATGCCCTGCTCCCACTATATCAGCAAGACTAAGAAATATAAACACATACTTGAGAGCATGTGTACGTAAAAACACAAAGAAGTATCCCAAAAACTCCTAATTGTCTTATGCAGTGTTCAACATCGCTCTGTAAAGTGCTCTTGTAGCCAAACAATGAGAATTTACTTAAATCGCTAAAAATAAAAGTCATCTCATATTTGAAAATATAAAATTTCTCTGCGCTCAATCATTGAAGAAAATACAGAAGTAGTAATAATAAAAAGATGATAATAATAATAAAGATAATAGGCAGACTACTCCAGTATAAGAAATTGTATAATACGAGAAGCAATATGTACCTTTCCTGCTCATAGTAATACAAACGAATTTCATTCACAGCAATACTAAAGCATGTAGAAATACAAATTCGATGGCCATACAAACGAATTTCATTCATAGCAATACGTACCTTTGAGAGTGTAGCAGTGTGGTGAGGAGAGAAAGTACGAACGAAGGAGAGAAAGCATACTTGCGTTCCTACTTGCGTGGGTGAGCAGAGAGCACGAACAGACGTTTGCAATTCTTTAGGAAGATGAGAGGGCAAAGGAGTGAATTTAGCGATTATTCCCAACCGCCGAAACCTACACGCTCCTATTTCCAGCGTTTTGGTTTTCGGCGGTTTGATGCCATCCGCTATTCAGACCCTCTGTTTTACATAAAAATCAGCGATTTTACGAGTCAAAAACGCTGAAACGGTCAAACCCTCCATTTTATGACGGAACCGCCCATATACAAACACACCCAAAATCTATATGAAAAGTATGTATATATTATAAAAAATGCTAAGTAAGAACCACATCAAATTTTAATTAAGAAGCACAAGGCATCATAGTAATTAGGAAAAGAATAAACGAAAATAACATGACAAAAGTATATCAAAATGTAGAAAAATGTAGAGCACAAAATTACAAAATTAGATTTGCACAAGCTTAAAAAAATGATAATTTGTTTAACACTAATAAGTGCACTTTTATCTATAAACTGTCGATTTTATATTATAAACATTTGCGCATATTCACACTTTCATGTGAATACCACGTAGTACGGTAGTATTTTTTATTTAAACTCTTTACATCTTCCTTCTTTTTTTTGGTTAATCTTGCTGAGTCACCAAGTCTAGAGGACTTTCTCTTCTCACAATCTCACACTTCTATCTTCGCGGTGTCTAGCAGTTTTTTCACCAACTCAGCAAAAATGAATTGAAGACTACCTGCGTTTAGCAGGGGTGGACCGGTTCCGGTTCGGGCCTGGGCCCGGCCGGGCCGGGTCTCGGTTCATGTATTTTTTTTTTTTGGCTTTTCCTAATTAACCCCCAACCCTCCCCCCTCACCCACAAACCACCTCAAATGGCCCATCATATCCAGGAGTGGACTCGGGCCAGGCCAACCGGCCCGGAACCGGACCGGCCCGCTACTGTGCGGGCCCGATGAACCGGTTGGTGCCCGGTTCGGGTCACCCGGCCCGGTGAGGTAGGCGGTTCGGGCGCGGCCGGTACGAGCCCTGTACGGGCCAATTTATTTTTTTTTCTTTTGTTTTAGATTTTTTTTAAGTTTTTGGGTTGGGCTGGGTATGATGGGTCATTTGAGGTGGTGAGGGGGTGAGGGGGGAGGGTTGGGGGTTGATTAGGAAAAGCCAAAAAAAATGCATGAACCGAGGCCCAGCCCGGCCCAACCCGGACCCGGGTCGGTTCCGGGCCTCCCCTTTCATGAACCGAGGCCCGAACCGGGCCCGAACCAGAACCGGTCCACCCCTAATCATACCCAGCCCAACCCAAAAACTTAAAAAAAATTCAAAAAAAAGAAAAAAAATAAATTGGCCCGGACCGTGCCCGAACCGGTCGGGCCGGTTCACTATTTAGCAGGCCCGGGACCAAACCGCCTACCTCACCGGGCCAGGTGGCCCGAACCGGGCACCAACCAGTTCACCGGGCCGGTCCGGGCCCACACAGTAACGGGCCGGTCCGGTTCCAGGCCGGTTGGCCCGGCCCGAGTCCACTCCTGCCTGCATTGGAGGATGTAATACGAACGCGTATACTGTGCAGCCGGCTGTACAGTGATCACTGTACAGCCGGTGGCAAAATTGTAATTTTTGTGAAAATCGCGGATTCTCCTAAATGAGCATTTATGCAACTTTGATGAGCATCAATCCTGTTCTTTTGAGTATTAGGGGCCTAACGGTGAGAATCAGTGATCTCTACTTCAAACCTTATATATCACTTTTGGTTTATTATTTTTTCGTTTAGTACGATACATTTGAAATGTTCAACATTTTAAAATGAGCATACATAACTTACAAGTTAGTATCAAATAACTAAAAGGTTCGTTTAGGGGTGGACTCGGGCTGGGCCAACCGGCCCGGAACCGGACCGGCCCGCTACTGTGCGGGCCCGGACCGGCCCGGTGAACCGGTTGGTTGGCCGGTTCGGGCCACCCGGCCCTGTAGGATCTCGGTTCGGGCTCGGACCCTTCAAAAGGTAAACCGGCCCGGCCGGTTCGGGCCCGGGCCGGGCCAATTTTAATTTTTTTTTTTTTTGATTTTTTTTTTAAGTTTTTGGGTTGGGCTGGGTATTTTGGACCATTTGAGGTGGTTAGGGTTGGTTTGGGGTGAGGGGGAGAGTTAAGGGTTAACTAAGAAAAGCCCCAAAAAAAATATAACCGAGGCCCGGCCCGGCCCGGACCCGTGGGTTACCTGGGCCGGTTTCGGGCCTCCCATACCTTGAACCGAGGCCCGGCCGGTTCAAGGCCCGAACCGGGCCCGGCCCGAACCGAGTCCATCCCTAGGTTCATTTGTGTGTGCTCACTCTTTTTGGGCGTTATACTCATTTGAGTTTAACATAAAACTCATTTCATTTAAAATGAGTATTAAGCAAATATGAAATGAGTATACATAAATTACAAAATGAGCAATCATAAAACTCATTCTAAATGTCTACTATGCTCATAATTTCATTTTGTATAAAAAATTGTGGCAGCCCATGTAGCAGATCAGTAATTAGCAGAGACGGAAAAATAGAGTGTGAAGAATAGGAATCACTCGCAGGGGTGGAGCCGTCTCTGCGTCGGCTAGGGATGGACTCGGGCCGTGTGGCCCGACCCGAAACCAGCCCGGGACCGGTATTGTTCCGGCCCGACCCAGTGGCCCGGTCAGTGACCGGTCCGAGTAGGCCCAGCCCGTGGGTTTTCCGGTCCGGGCTCGGGTTACCCAAAACAAGGCCCGACCCGGCCGGGCTCGGGCCCGATTCAGGCCAAAAACTATTATTTTTTTCAATTTATTTTAAATTTTTGGATTGGGCAGGGTATTTTGGGCCATTTGGGGTGGTTTGGGGGGTTGGGGGTTGGAGGGGGGTTAATTAGGAAGAGGAAAACAAAAACAAAAATGATAATGGGCTCGGCTCGGCCCGGCTCGAACCAGACCCGGTGGTTACCCGGGCCGGTCCCGGGTCCACCATTTCTGAACCGCCGGCCCACCCGGGCCTAGGCCCGACCCGAACCCAACCCGGACCCGAGTCCATCCCTAGCGTCGACTAAGAATCTCAGTCGTGACTCGTGAGTTGCACTTGGAAGCTTGGCTATCGACGATCTGCGTTCGTGAGTTGCACCAGACTTTTGATCTGCCGTCCTTCGTCGTCTTGTTGGTGAGTTGCAGGGCTAAATCGCGAGTTGCAGGGCTGAATCGTGTTGTACGGTGCAAAAAAAACCAGTTGTATGGTGAGCACTGTACAGCCGACCGTACGGTGTATTTTACCTAGGGTTGGATTCGGTTCGGGCCACCCGGCCCGTGAACCGGCCCGGCCCGGCACTGTGCGGGCCCGAGACCGGCCCGGTCGGGCGGTCCGGGACCGGGTATGGACCCGAACCGATGGGAAGGGGCGGGGCGGGCTCGGTTCAGGATTATTGTGACCCGGCCCGGCCGGGTCGGGCCCGGGTGCGGGCCTCTTTTTTAAAAAAAAAATTGGTTGGTTGGGCTACTATCCGTTGGGGGTGGGGCTGGGGACAACCCCAACGGCTATATAGCCGTTGGGTGGGGTAAAGGGGGGGTCCGGGGGGTTGGCTGGTAGGGGGGGGTGGGGGGTGGGGGGTAAAAAAACCTATAAATACTCCTAATCTTAAACATTTTTTCATATCTCTTCTCCAATTCTTCCTAAATCCTATTCTTAACTCTCTACTCTCTAATTCTCTTATTCTCCAATATATTATATATCTACTCTCTAATTCTCTTCTCCAAGAAGTTAAGATAGAAAATCAAGATGCCATTATACGGTATAATTTTAATAAGCAGAAGGACCCGAAGACCGGGATGTCATACGCAATTTGCAAATGGTGCGAAAAAAAAATGTATCATGGGGGCTTCAGGCGGATTCGGGATGGCAATCAAGCATATGAAGTCATGTGACAAAGCCAAAGGATCGGGAGATGCGGGAAGTTCCGATTGATTACAATTTTCAAAATGTTTATCTCTTAAAGTTTGTTTTAATTTTCAAATGTAGTTCCTATTTCATTTCAAATAAATGCAATTGAAGTTTGTTTTTAATACTCGTATAAAACTATAAACTATAAAATATAAATTATAAAAAAAAAATTAACCGGCCCGGCCCGAATCGGGCCCGACCCGTGACCCGGGCGGGTGGCCCGGCCCGAACCGGACCCGTCCAACCCTCGGGCCGGTCCCGGGCCCACTATTCTAGAATCGGCGGCCCGACCGGGCCTAGGCCCGGCCCGGGCCCGACCCGAATCCATCCCTAATTTTACCATGTAATACACACATAATGTCTAATTTGATGAGTTGGCATGATTTTCCTAGATTAGACGGCCATACATTGGAGATTTGGAGATGCTCTGAGCAACAACTTATTTGTAAATCTCTGTTAGTTTTCCTCCCTTCTATAGTTCTATAACACAATATGTAGTATTTGTGAATTTCAAAGTAAGAGAGGTGCAAGAAAGCTACAACTTGTGAAATTAGCAGGCAGCAGTATGTGTGCGAGTCTGAGAGTTTTCATCTCGGCAAAAAAGGATGCCCCCAACAGGAACAAACTTATTCAAAACAAAAAACAATGAAGCATCTTTACTGAGAGCTCTGTCGCTCCCTCCTTGACCCTAATCCGACACATTGCTCTGATATTAGTAGCACTACCACCCCAGGCAACAAACACCCACACATAAACTCTTCAGAGAGAAAAAAACGACAAAAAAAACAAATAGATATAAAGAAAAGATTTGGTGATGTTGCTTAAGCATCATCGAGGGCAAGAACACCAGGGAGCATCTTTCCCTCGAGTAGCTCCAGGCTGGCACCACCTCCAGTTGAAATATGGCTCATCTTTTCTGCAAGCCCAACCTTCTCCACTGCTGCAACAGAGTCGCCACCTCCTATGATTGTTGTCACGCCCTTTGTACTCAGTTCCGCCAATTTCTTTGCTATGGCCTGTGGACACCCCAGCCGCCCATTGCAAAGTAATAAAAACGAAATCAACAAAGCAGCCAAAGGAAAGCATGTGATGCTTTCACCAACTAATAGTTAAGAAAATTATTTAATAAGTCAAACCTCAGTTCCAGCAGCAAACTTGTCAAACTCAAACACACCCATAGGCCCATTCCATATTACTGTTTGGGTGGAATCCAAAGCTTTGCCGAATGACTTGATTGTGTCAGGTCCAATATCTAACCCCATCCACGCATCTGGTATTTCAGAAGCGCTAACCACCTGAAAATTTCCAAATCATTAATAACCCAAATCAGGCACCTCATGTTTTGTTCACCTGCTAACAGAGGGCATATGTACCCTCATCATTCTTTGAGAATTACAGGGAACTATATTAGAGCATCTTATATTATTTTTTTTTTAAAAAAATTAAACACTGTTCCACCATCCAAGGTTGGGTCACGTTCACGGTCACACTCTGTTAGAGGTCATTAGGGGCACAAAATTGTAGAGCGTTCAGCATTTAGGTCTTATACTTGAAAGAAGCTCATTAGCAAGATAGAGTGCGAGAGAAACCTTGCTGTTAGCATCAGCAGAAAACTTGTCAGCAACCACAACATCAGTAGGAAGCAACAATGACACACCCTTAGTCTTGGCTTTCTCAAAGAGGGCTGTAGCTAGTTCAAGCTTGTCCTCCTCCACCAGCGAGGACCCAACTTTGTATCCTTGAGCCTTGTAGAAGGTAAAAATCATCCCTCCACCCAACAATAGCAAGTCAACCTTTTCCAACAGTGACTCGATCACAGCAATTTTAGAGGAAACTTTTGACCCACCAACAATTGCAGCAAAGGGCTTCTTTGGACTAGTGACAACTCCAACTAAATAGTCAAGCTCCTGAGATTGACAGTGGAAAATAGAGCACAGTGCAAAGCAGTAATCATATGAGAATCATGAGATCATTTGGAAAGCAATTGTAGCCTCTAAGGGTATATTTGAATGAAGGGCTTTGGAAGAGAAGGCTTTGGAGAGATTAGCTGATACACATTTTAGGACTTCATTAGGAAATATTCAATTAAATCACCCCAAATATTGGTGGTTAATTTTTAAAAACGCAACTATTGATTATTCCTATATATAATACCAACTACAAACATTGGTGTGTTAATATTAAGCCTGTCCCCCAACAATAATCCTAGTCTTTAACTGGTGTGCCCCAATAAAAATTAGGAACATTGGACTGCAATAAAATAATAAATCCACACTTTGCACAGCACACGTTCATTAGTCCCAAAAGAATAAAATTATTACTTATTTTGGTAGTTAACAAAACCCATGCAACACATAATTTCATTCAGATTAAAACTATAGATATACACACTTCATTACTTTACTAGAAGGTTTGGTAGTTGGTACTAAGTTAGAAGAACTGATTTGACAAATTTTAAACATGTGAGAGATACAAGGGCAATGTAAATATTGCCTTGCAAAAAATAGCCCCTTTGGTTATTCTTGAACTCGAAACTTGGGGTACTATTTGGCTAAGAAATTAAATGGGATGTATGGACTTGGAAGGAGAAACGTTGGAATAATTGACAGTTATGAAGTTTACACTTGGACTGGTCTGGCAACTGGTCTCAATTGCTCAGAACAAAATTTGGTAAGGTATTACATCAACTTACATGTATTTTATAATTAACTAAGTTTGGTCTATCGAAGTATGTTTTGTCTTGTCTCATCTATTTAAGTTTGGACTTTGGTTAGAAGTTAAGACTGTTAAGATCATGGAGAGCAGTTACCGAACCAAGTTGTTTTCTAACTATTTAAGCTCTATTTCGAACCTATTGACTATTGAGTCAACCTTATTGATAGGCTTCAAACTTCAATACAGCTATACAAGCCGACTTTGAAGTTTGAATTATTTTTAGCCGACTTTGAAGTTTGAATTTTTTCAAACTGAGCTCTAGCATAGTTGTGTTTAGTTGGAGCTCAAGATTATTGAGCACTTATAATTTTTAGGGGAAAATTATATAAATGTTAAATTTTAAAGGTTTGCAGTGTATTTATAAAATTAATGTATTATTAACGAATCGAGCACTTAACGAAAATTCTAAGTGCTCGATTCGTTAGTAATACATTAATTTTAAAAATCGAAAGTTGACGAAAAGTAAAAACGTTGGACATATTAACGAAAAAAATGATGTATTATTAACGAATCGAGCACTTAAAAACGTTTAAAATTCTAAGTTAACGAAAGTAAATACGTTGGACATTAAAAATTTAATAATTTTTACCCTATGCTTCTTAATTGAGCTTCTTAATTTCACGAAAATTGTGCACAGGGTAAACTCATACTACCTCCCGTTACATTGGAGGTTACCAACTTTGAGTTAAGTGAAAATTAGAAAAGTAAAAATTGTGTGAATGGAGGAGAGAAAAACAACCAAACCCACAAATTAGTGACAAAATGTTTTAGACAATCAAAAAGGGAAAGCTGGCAAAGTTCAATGGGACAGAGGGAGTATTTAATGGGATAAGTGACAAAATGTTTTAGACAATCAAAAAGGGAAAGCCGGCAAAGTTCAATGGGACAGAGGGAGTATTTAAAAACATTTCAATCAAAGTTATCGAGTGTGCAAATAGAACATCTAACATCTGTCAAGCCAAACATGAACCTCACCTTTAGTTGTCAGCTTCAAGCTCGAACCCAATCACCACCCTTATTGAATCTAGCCAACTCAAGCTCAAAATGTGTAAGCTCGAGCCGGCTCTTTAAATAGACCATTGATTTGGTCTAGTTTGAGAATTAAAATCAATCATAGTGAAAACATCTTCAGACTTGAGGGAAACAGACCAAACATAGTGGAGAATTTGAAATCATTTAAATAGCACTCTTAGTGACCTTTTAAAAGTAACAAGTTAGAGCAAGTAAGGCAGATCAGGGGCGAATACAAAACGAATATTGACACACAAACCCCCTAGTTGGGACTTGGGGATCTACCTAAAGAATCTGGGATTAATAAAAGCAAACCACAAATAGTTCAGATAATTGTAAGTTTGTAACCAATTTTTTCATGTTAATAAAATTGATAGATTATCCTGATATGTGATTGTGTGACGATTCATGTATCAAGATACAAATTAAGCCCTACAAGACCATGCAAGGCCCTCAATTCAAGATGACTGAATAAGTCCCCAAAATGACAACCTTTTGAAATACCTACCTTCTGCATAAGGAATCCAGCTACGGCTGGTTTCAAGAATTTGGCGACTCCCTCTGTGGAGGCATGAGCTCTATGTGCAGTTCCAAATGCGTCATTAACATACAAATCTGCAAGGGAGGCAAGCTTCTTTGCGAATTCAGGATCGTTCTTCTCTTCCTCTTTGTAGAATCTCACATTTTCGAGAAGCAAAACACCCCCTTCTGGGATTTGAGCAACCAATTTCTCCACTTCCTCACCAATACAATCATTTGCCATCTTCACCTATTAGAAAGCAAAAGAGTTCTTTTAATTTTTGAAAGGGCTGTCATGGCCGGCCATATGGATTATGGAAAATATAAAGAGAGAAAATCAAAGCGAACCTCAATACCAAGAAGTTCAGAAAGCCTAGGTACAAGAGGCTTCAAGCTGTACTTTGGTGTGACCCCTTTTGGACGACCCTAAAACCAATAGCTCAAGCAAATTCAGAGAGGACACAACTGATTAAAATTTCAGAAACATAAACTAGTCATTGATCAAAGATTTAACTTGAACCACACAAAATAATCAAGAAAACAACAAGAATGAGCTGAGATGGGGGGGGGGGGGGGGTAACCGGAGGGGGAGCTCACGAGATGGGAAGAAAGGATGACACGGGCGCCATGCTCCCTGAGATAATTGATGGTGGGGACGGCGGCGCGGACTCTGGTGTCATCGGTGATTTTCAAGTTGTCGTCCAACGGAACGTTGAGATCCACCCGGACGAAAACTCTCTTTCCCTTCAGATCTGCCTCCTTTAGGGATCCCACGCTCTTTTTCACAGCCATGGTTTCAAGTCAATCTTTCCTTCAAATAAATGAATTGAAGAAGTAAAAAGGGGATTACAAATTTGATGATAATATATAATACGGAGTATACATAAGGCACATGAAAGGGAAGGAGGCGGCCGGATCCCCGCAGATTATTACCACAACGACGACTCGGAGCAGGGGCGATATCGGAGAATCGAGGTTTCAATATATGGATGGTGGGCGAAGACTGAGAAAATGACAAGGATACGTCGTACAGTATAAATAAATGGGGAGTCAGTGCAAAGTACAACCGGATGTATTGTACTACGAGCACGGTAAAACTTTGCTTAGGGTACAACTTTTGTGTACACTTTTTGTCTCCAGCATACGAATTGTCTGTCCACAAAAGGTGTACACACAATGGCGGAGTCAGAGGTTTGTCCAAGGAGGGGCAAACCAAAGACTAAAAATTTTAAAGTTCGTGTCCAAAATATAATAAGAACAACAATAGCGTAATAATTTAACAAAAAATTATAGTTCATTACTTACTACTTGATTTACTTCTGCAACCTAGGCAAATCAATCCTACGAGTTTTCATATTTTGAAAATGCTGCATAATAGCTTCATTATCAATTGCTTGAAAAATGTCTCTTTCGATGTAGCATACTAAGCAATCCGTAAGATAGTCATCTCTCATCTTATTGCGAAGATCTGTCTTGATAATATTCATCGCTGAGAAAGCTCTTTCAACTGTGGCTGTTGCAACTGGTAACACTAGAGCCAACTCAATAAGACGATAGACCAAGTGAAAAGATTTGTGAATTGTAAGTTCAACCATCTTCTTAGACACTTCACCAATACTTTGTAAAGTGGAAAATGCTTCATTTCCTCTCATCTCATATATCCAAACTTGGAGTTGTTCTTTAAGCTCCATTTGCTCAACAGCTGAAAAATCAGATGAATATAACTCCGCAAGACTGAGTAGCTTTGACTCACAGAAATTGGAAAATTTATCTTTAGGATCAAGGCAAGCTAAACAAGCGAGTAAATCTGTATTTGACTCACTAAAGCGATTCTCCATTTCCAGATTGACCTGGTCTATAACCTACAATAAGGTAATAATAAAAAGTAGTAGTAATAGTAATAATAATAATGATAATAATAATAACAACTAATAAATAATTTAAATTTTAATAAAAAATACCTAATAAAAAATGTCAGCTCGAAAGTGATGATAATTTGTTACCGGATGGCGAACGCGTCTAGAACGATGAGTTGTATCTTCCATGTTTAGAATGTCAATTTTATTCTTCACACAAAATTTACTGACATCTTCTAATAGCTCTTCCCATCCACTTTCTCTCAAATCTTGGAACTTCTCTTTAGTGCTTTTAATCAAGCTCACAGCCTCAAGAATGTTCTGATCTTTTTGTTGCAAGAAATGTGACAACATATTCGTCAATCCCAATACCTTCTTCATCAAGTGGGCTATAAAAACAAATTGATAGCTCTCCATTTTTTCAACCAAACTACTAGCTTTGCCCCTTGATTTTGAATCAATTCCATCATCAAATATATTGTCAAGCACTTGGATTGTTCCCTTACACATAGGTGTACACCATGCATTTTTCCCTTACCACTATTTGAGCATATCTTTTCATATTTTTGTAATATAATATGAAAATCGCGTTTTCTGCTATCTGAGCATTAAAGTGTACTGTTAATGAGCAATAGTCGAATTTTAATGAGTATTAAGAGTCTAATAATGAGCATCATGTTATTACAAGAAAGCTGATATCACAACAAAAAAACAGTGTCATTTTCGTAATTTCAGTGAAAATCACGGTTTTCGTTAGGTGAGCATTAATACATTGTTAATGAGCACCAGATGTATTTTACTGAGTATTAAGAGTCAAATAATGAGTATTGTGATATCAACTTCATATATTGTAATTCACTTTCTTTTTCTTATTTTATCTTGGGAGAATTTGAGTTTGCACTCAATATTTTGGGTGATATTTGACTTTGCACCTCATTTTTAAAATCATTAATGTATGCACCTCATTAGCCCAAAAATTGTGTGTTAAGGAGTGAGGTGCAAAGTCAAATGATTTTATAGTGAATTGGGGTGTATACATTAATGATTTTGAAAATAGGGCGCAAAGTCAAATATCACCCAAAACATGGGGTGCAAAGTCAAATTCTCCCTTATATCTTTTATAAAAAGTCATTAAATTATATCTATAATCAACTTTTATAAACTTCAATATGTGAATTTAATGTAGTATGGTACTTTTAAAATATGCATCGATATGTCATTTTAAAATGAGCATAATATCAATATCAAATGAGCATACGCAACTTTCAAAATATGCATAAATATGAAAAATCGTAAGGTTTGTTAGTTGGACGTCGTGACTTTTTCATTGAGCATCAAACATCCTCTACTGAGTATCTGAAGCATGCAATTGAGTATCATAATCGCTACTCTCATGTATATAATCTAACTCTTATGTGAATCTAATATGTTACTTTTGAATTTGAAAATGCATTGATATGGCATTTTAAAATGAGCATAAAACCAGTACCAGATGAACATACATGACTTACAAAATGAGTATCGAAAAATTCAAAAACTCTTTGATTCTCTAATGTGTTCAAATGTTCATTTGTGGACATTGACGAGCACTTTGTCACGGTGCGTCAACATAATTTTCAATACTAACACTTATACGTAGTATAGCGTAGTAGAGTTCGTATCCACAAGGAAAGGAATAATTCTCTTTTTATGAAACTTAGTAAATAAAGGGGGGATTTGGATTGAGTGATTTAATTTAATTAAAAACTAAGATGAATGACTTATATGAGATTTAATTCGAAGATAAAAAGGACTTGGCATTGCTACTTTCCACTTGTTGATATATTTTAGTCGATCATTGTTATATCTATAACTTATTCCCTCTCGAATACTCAATCGGGGAGTATATCCACTTCATCGAGGGTAGTTATTAACAAGAACCGTTCATTAATAACCCTTACTATTAATCAAATATAGAACAACGCCTTATACCGATTTAATAGTAGCATTTAATCTTTCTAACTCCTTGATGAAATCAATTGAGATTGATAACCTCAACACAACGGTTTCGGTTTAACCAACAAAATTAATCCCTCTTAAGTTTATTAACCACGACCGTGCATTAATAAATCGAAGTTACTTACTTGTGAAACCATCAACAATTAACCATCGGTTCGTTGATCGTTTCTAGTAATAATTGATATATGAAACAAAACTAGTTGACCCTTTAAGTAATGTTCAAAATATTAATATGAAATATGAGTAGGGATTAATTAATATTCAAGGAAGAATACTATTAAAGAAGATGAATCCTTCTATAATTAATATCAAGATGTTAACTAATTGTCATCTTAGCAACACTCCCCAACATTAATATACAGGAAGAAAATACCATTCTAACTAATGTCGAGATGTTAACTAATTGTCATCTTAGCAACACTCCCCAACATTAATATAGAGGAAGAAAATACCATTCTAACTAATGTCGAGATGTTAACTAATTGTCATCTTAACAACACTCCCCAACATTAATATAGAGATGGTATTAAGGAAAGAACTATTAATTAATATTCAAGGAAAGAAGTTAAGAAAATAACTCACAACTTTAATAATCAACAAGCTTCAAGAGCAACACCAAGAATGGAAGTTTAGCTCCTCATTTGGAGACTAAACATAACTAGAAAAATACAAAGAAATGCTATTCTAAACTGAGCTTAAGAGAATGGAAGAAGGAATGATTAAAAGTGAAGGAAAATGGGGTTATTTATAGGTGTTTTCAAGACCTATAGCCGGATACCCGGCCGGGTATTTTGACATACCTGACTGGGTATTTACCAAATCAAATATTTTCCCATGTTTTTGTGTCTTCTGCACGTTCTTTGGTCCGAAATCACTTCATACCCGACCGGGTATATGGAATACCCGACCGGGTATTTGCTAGTTTTGCAGCAGTTTCCTTTGTCGCTTCATACCCGGCCGGGTAAAGTCCATACCCGACCGGGTTTTGCATAAAACTCAGGTTTTTCCATCCTTCTTGCATCCAAACCTATCCTAAACTTATAGCTCAACTAACTACAACTTACAACAAACAATAAAATGCTAAAAATACGATCACAATCAAATGCAAACTAACAACTACAAACTTGCATAATACTAGTAAATAAATATTACAAATGATAATAAAAATGTACACTTAGGCACTAACAACTAGTGCCTATCAAACACCCCCGCACTTGAACTTTTATTCGTCTCGAGTAAAACAAATCCTGTCCATAAAGTTTCCAAACCAACAATTGTAGCAATCACAACTATTCACAAGTGTTTTTGAAAGTCAACATAAAAATGTTTCAATGATCAAAACACGTGAATAAAAGGTCTTCAGCATCATTGGGTTCCTCTTCTTTTGCTCCTTATGTGTACCCTTAGGATCCTGCAAATATAAAAGAAATATTTTCTCTCATTCTCTCATTTTGCCTAGGTGCCCTTTCGGGTTTTCATCCCAGCTTCCCACATTTTCCTTTTTAATTCTCACCAACTCACTCTTCTTTTTGCTTTTATTTTGCTTAAGTTGCCCTTTTGGGTTTTCAACCTAACAAGCTTATATTTTATTTTTTTAAATAGCAAGAATAAAGAGCATGAAATGGGAGCATACCAGAATAGTTCTCCCCCCCAGCTAGTTCATGGCACTGCCCCTAGTGCCCGTCTGCATCTCCTCCATCAAAGAATCCACCCTGACCATAGTAGCTGTCATGAAAACCGTCCGCATATGGATATTCATCGTCGTTTGTGTCTGAGCTGCCGCCATATCCGCCATCACCACCTCCGAAATCCCTGCCAGTACCATCACCGCTAGCCTGTCCACCTCCTCCGGAGCTAGATCCTCCGAAATTACCCCAATGTGAGGGGTCATACCATGTAGGATGTTGGACCGGAGTGGGCATGTGGGAAAAGTACCCTTGGTGGTCAAAATATGCGTACATAGGGCCGAAGGCCCGTCTTTGATCGTCTTCCACCCTTTGGTACGCACTGTAGAGATCGTCGATGTGTGTGTTCATTGTCGTTTGGTTAAGATTGAGTTGTTGTATACCGGCAAGCATTTGTTGTTCAAAGGGGGTGTATTGAGGGGGTTGGGGATCGGGTTGTGCCTGTGCTTGTGGTTGTTCGGGACTGGGTGGTGGCTCAAGTTGAGGGATGTCATAAAGATAGTGGTCAGGAGTAGTTCCGGGTAGGCAAAGGTGTCTCCTATCCTCGAGTTGATGGTTAAAAATGTTGGGGAGTTCATCGGAGGGGATTGTAAAAAGTTGTGTGGGTGAGGGA